AAAAACCATAGTTGAGCCTACTTGATGCCTCGGGGTCAATAAAAAGCCAAAAAAACCTAAATAAGCCTACTTGATGCCTCGGCGTTGATATAAAGCCAAAAACCCTAGTTGAGCCTACTTGATTCCTCGGGGTCGATAAAAAGCCAAAAAAACCATAAGTGAGCCTACTTGATGCCTCCTCGTCGATAAAAAGCCAAAAAAAACCATAGTTGAGCCTACTTGATGCCTCACAATCATCAGTTGAGCATAAACACACTTAAGATCAAATTCAACAACTGTAAATAGCTTACTAAGCTAAAAAACACCAGTTGCACAGAAACATACTTAAGATCACAATCATCAATTTGCAAGCATCTTACTTAAGATCACATTTAGCACCTCCAAATACCACCACATTTCGCATTAGTTCAAATCCATACATAATAATAGTTGAAGATTACTACATTACATCACCATAGTTCAGAATACTCATAGTTCAGAGAATTTAAACTACCATCATTACAGCAAATGCCAAACCACACTCTGGAAAATGTCAGCAAATGCCAAATGATATTACCCATTCTTCTCTTCCAGAACCACCTGCCTATCCATTTATGATGGCCTTGACTCCCTGCAGCTCCACATTGCTCTCTTCAACTGTCTTCTTCAACTCATCAATGTGGTTCTGCAAGTTCTTCCTCTCTTCAGCTAGCTTGAGCTTCATGTTCCTAATGACATTTGCTTGAGCAGCTGCTAGGTTCTTAACCATGTCATACTTCTCCTGAATCTTGTTGGTTTCAAGATATTTCGTTTCTACCTCTACCCTCCTTTCCTGAGCATCCAAAAGTCCATTCACATCTCCAACCAACTTCTCATAGCTCTCCCGTAGCTTCTTCTTCTCTTGTGTCAAGTCATGAACAACAAATGAATGCAAAAGATTTTCCTCAGTCCTGTCTCTCCTACTTTGTTCGTACATAAACCATAACTTGGCTAATGCATTCTCAAGGGTGTAGGGCCAAGCTGGATCAATCCATTCAACTAATCCACAATTTCTACCTTCCTGAACAAAATCAGAATTAATATAAACAAAAACATTAGAATGCTTCCAAGCAACACTATTTAATTACTATCCTCAAATTTAGAGCTTGAGCTTGCTAGCTAAAGAGAGGACTACTTAAACATGTCGTCATGCTACTTAAACAATGTTGTCCTGCTATAAAGTAAACAGAATCAATCAAATGACCTAACATGTCATACTAAACAAGTTGCATCCTCTGTCCTGCTCCAGTAACCCATGCATATTCTGTCTTAAATTATTAATAGCATGCTACACTAAACAAAGTGGCCTAACTTAACAATGTTGCCAGACCAAGGGGAAAATATGCTGCCAGAGTAAGCAATTGCTTCTGATCCATTTTCCTAACTAAACAATACAACTAAACTTAACACTAAACTGCAATGCCTGCCTCCACAGTACAGATCGAGAGAAAACAAAGGCAGAGCACAAACAAAGGCAGATCCAGAGAAAACAAATCACAATATACCTTCTCAGCACAGCAAAGAAACCTCCTGCCAGTGTGGATTCCTTCGAAAGCAACACGCCTTTCTGCGGCCTTCCCATGTTCATTGCAGAGAACAAGCAACTCCGTTTCAGGTCCCTCGAAATCGGAGTCTTCAGTGGTAGCAGGGATCTGTAGTGCATAGGAATACCAGAGATTTGATCCACCTGTCAGCAAATAAGCTCATTCAAGAAATCCTCCAAATCACAAACCCTAACCCTAAAAATCTGAACTTACCTTAATTCTGCCGTCGTCAGAACCTGAGTTGACGTACTCCACGGTGTGCTCACTGCTATCGGACCCATCGCTCCAGGACACCATTGCGACGCAGCAGGGGCGCGGCGACGCGGCTGCGGGTGCGGCGACCAAAGCAGAGGAGCAAGACAGAGGAGGAGTGAGCGAGAGAGCAGCGAGACAGAGTGGGGAGTGGGGAGTGGGGGTAGCACTGACCGGTCTTTTGACCGGTCCATCAAACAGAGGCATACGGCGCCGTCAAACACCGTCTAACGGCTGTCGGGACAGCCGACGGTGCCACGTACACAAAAAAGGGCCCCACCTGTCATAAACAAGCTTAACTGACCCCGATCCGCCGATCAGTGCTTTCTGTAAAAAGATTACGGAAGATATGGTGTTTTCTGCAAAAAAATGTATTGTAGTGATTTTCGCAAACCTTGCCTTTAAAGTGATGGTTTTGTGCAATTTACTCATCTGACGGTGGCGACGAGAGAGCACGCGTCGCCACCCCGCCGACGTGTGTCCGAGTCCCACAATTTCTATATGAGCGTCGTACCGTATCTAACTCGAAACCCAATCCTGTGTCCGACTCCGACTGCAGCTCCTTTTCTTGTCCGACCGCAGCTCCGCACCCTCCTTTTATATACGCCTCTGCGCCGCTTATAGCAACACAATTACAACAAGAGATCTCTAATCTAACAAGTCAACAAGAGATCAAGATCGAGATATGCACCGTGGGCGCATCGCCGTGAACCCGGCCGCCGGCATGGTCGCCATGTTTCCACCGCCGCCGCGGCGCTTCAACTTCAACCACATGTTTCCCGTGCAGGTGGTGCAGCCCCCGCCGTTTACCTTCCACGCTGCTCCCCTGCCGCCGGTACAGCCGGAGCTGCCGGTCCAGGTGCGCCCTGTGTGGGCGGGGAACTTCAACGAAGAGTGGGCCTACCTCCAGAGCTTCGCCGCGTGCGCCCGCTACATCGCTGTCGACGTGCACTACCCTGGACTCGTCCACGCCGCCGACCAGGACCTCAGCAGCCTGCCGGTGGAGCACCGCTACGCGCTCATGAAGGCCAACGTGGACGGCCTCAAGCCGCTCCAGGTCGGCATCGCCGTCTGCGACCACCAAGGCCAGCAGGTCGCCTGGGAGTTCAACCTCCGCGACTTCTGCCGCCTCGCCGACCCGCACGACGCCAAGGCCCTCGACTACCTCGCCCGCCGCGGCCTCGACCTCGACACGCTCCGCAACCACGGCGTCGACGCCTACATGCTCGGCGCGCTGCTCATGGGCTCCGGCCTCATCGGTGCCGGGCACGGGCGGCCGCTGTCGTGGGTCACCCACGCCGGTGCCTACCACGTGGCGTACCTCCTCAAGATTGTCACGGGCGGCGCCCCGCTGCCGCACGACGTGGCCGGGTTCCTCGGCGCCATGCGGTACTACCTCGGCCAGCAGGTCTACGACGTGGCCACGATGGCGGCCAACTGCACGGGCATGCCGGTGGGGCTGGACCACATCGCCACTAACCTGCGCATCCATCCGCCGTGGGGGAGCCCTCGCCTCGCAGGCGCCGCCGGCGTGCGCGCGCTTCTGGCCTTCAGGATTTTGAAGGACGGGCGGTTCGGTGGCAACGTGGAGAGGTTCCGAGGCCTGCTTCAGGGCCTGCAGCATTAGTTCTTCTTCCACGGTCGATCACAATCACACACGAGCAACGTCCTTGGTCAAGAATTCGAATGTGCAACGGACTCATGCTGCCCGCCGGTTATTCAGAAGATTGTTATTACTGCTACAGTTTTATATACTTGTCAAGCGCTTGTTTTTCTCATCAAAACTTCCAGTCAAGGTTCTAGTGATGCGTGATGTATTTTGTCGTAATAATTCGCAATACTTATACTTGAGTAATATGTATAAACAACCGTCAACCGTGTACCTTCTATTGTGTGTGTATTTTCTTAAGTCAACCGTGTACTTTCTATTGTGTGTGTATTTTCTTAAGGCATCTCCAACACCAGATATTGTATTTGTCTGTGGTCATGTTCGTTGATAGTGATATGAAGAGCCGGTCATCCAACGCTTACCGTAAACCTTCATCCGTAATACAAATAGATTCAGACATAATTCATGCAAAGACAAAATTCATGCGAACGGACATAAATTCGATATATTTTATATAAACCGAATGATATTTCGTCCGTTCAACTAAAACCTAAACTAATTTGTAGCGGACGGCGACGGATGTGTTCCAATCTTGACGAGTTCCCCGTCGTGCAAAAGGATAAATATTAATGTAATATTGATGATACATACATTTCAAAATGATAAATTACTTGAATAATGTAAAAACCGTGAATTTGAAAATGTTAATGCAATGTAAAAATATTGTTAGCGTAGTTATAAAATATGTTGATATCACTCAAGAAATGTATGTGATATTTAAACAGTATTCATTTCAAAAAGATGCACGTGAAATATTTTTATAGTGTGAAAAATATGTTTCTGTAATTTAAAAAATAATTCATACCATTGAAAAAAAGGTGCACTGCATTTTAAAAATGCTCACACATTTCAAAAGATGTCTGTGACATTTAAAAAAATGTTACTGTATGATGTAAAAAAATGACCATGTAGTTTGAAAAATGTTCCCTATCATTCAATAAAAAAGTATCACCATGTATTTGAAAAATGGTCAACACATATCAAAAAAATATTCAAAATGATGTATTTCCAAAAATATTAATCATATAATTGAAAAATGTTCAATGTGTATTAAAATAATATTTCTGATATACACAAAAAATGTACAACTTGTGTTGCATAAAATAGGCATGTATTATAAAACATAAAATGGAAGAAAAAAACCAAAGAAAATCAAGGACAAATTGATAGAAAACCGATAGAAACGTTGTTTTTCCTTTTAGATCATTTGTAGTTCAGAAGATTATTATTACTACTACAGTCTTATTATATACTTATAGGTCGAGAGTTTGTTTTTCTCATCGCAAAAAAATTATTTGATTTTCCTTTTAGTAGTATTCAAAACTTCCAGTCAAGGTTTTAGTGATGCGTGATGTATTTGTAGTAATATTTTGCAATACTTACTTGAGTAGTATATATAAACATCTGTCAACCGTGTACCTTCTAAACAAATACAAGCATTGTATTCTATTATGTGTGTATTTTCTTAGGGCATCTTCAACGCTGGATATAGTATTTGTTTATGGACGTGTCTGCGAAAAGTGATACGAAGAGCCGGCCATTCAAAGTTAACCGTAAACCTTCGTCCGTAATAAAAATAGATTCAGACATAATTCATGCAAAGATGGCATAATTCATGCAAACAGACATAAATTGGATATATTTTATATAAACTGAATGATATTTCATTCGTTCAATTAAAACCTAAACTAATTTGTAGCAGACGGTGATCTCGTAGGCCTGGCCGGGTTGGGAACGAATATATATGGGGTCAGGTGGGCCAGTGTGAGCCGGGTCCGACGTGGCAGGTGCACCCGGGCGCCCTCATATCCAGTGGGCTGGATATGGAGGGTGCCAGTAAGCCCAGACATTTGAGATCCGTTTGAGATATCCGTCTGGGTTGAAAAAATATGACTAGTCAATGATTGAGCTGTCCTCCCAGACATATGAGGCGAGTTTGATGCGTCCGGCCGTAGATGCTCTTATATTGTGGGACTCGGAGGGAGTAGCATGGAGCGGAGGGAGTGCATGCACGTATGTTTGTAGCTGGCTAGGCACGCGTGCATGCATGTGCCTGTCACGCCCTAGGGACAAACGGAATCGACGGCGGCTAGCCGAGTAGCAGGTAGGGGAAAGGGGAATCGGAGCTGAGGAAGAAAGAGAGAGAGCACAGGAGAAGATAATAGAAAGCGAGGGGCTAGAATGATTTCAATTTCAAACTCCATACCGTACAGCACGCTACTCGCTCACTTATATACCGCGGCTTACAACCCAACACTTGGCCCACCGGCCCATACATCACGCGACCCAAAAGCCCCTTGGTCATCTTTTAAACTCTTCGCGCCTTTGCCGCTGCGATCGCCTCTGTACTTGACTCCTTGTCACTTACAGTACCCGCCCTGAAGAACCAGCGTGTCCCCATGCCGGTGCTGTTGGAAAGCGTTTCTTGAGCACCTCGTAGTCCTCCCAGGTGGCTGAAGCAGCAGGAATTTTCGCCCACTTGACCAGTATCTCAAGATGGGACACGTTCCCTTTCTCGACCAGTCGTTGGTCCAGTATTTCTTCAAGACAAACCCCCGGAGCAGAGAGATCGATCGGTACTGGCAGAGTGGTGAACACCGGCGTATGATCTGGCACATGATTCTTGAGCTGTGACATATGGAAAACAGGATGGACTTGACTTCCTCTTGGTAACTCCAACTTGTATGCAGTACTGCCGATCCTGTCCACTATCTTGTATGGTCCAAAGAACTTCAGCGCCAGCTTCCGACAAGGGCGATTCACCACTGTTGATTGAGCATAAGGCCGCAGTCTCAAATAGTCAATTTCCCCTTGTGCAAATACTCTGTCAGAGCGCTTCTTGTTGGCAAAGTGTTTGTATTTGCACTGGGCACATGCCAAGTGATCCTTAAGAGCAGTTGTATGTTGAGTATGTGTGGCCAACCATTCATTGACATCAGGGTTGAGAGAGGGCGTGTGTCCCAAGAGTTGGCCCATGTGAAAGTGCAACTATCCCCGGGTGGTTTTGGTAATTCCTAACAACAAATAGCTCATTGAGCTAACATTATTCCAAGATTACTATTTCAGGAAAAGCTCAATGAATGGCATGGCATGGATGAGGAAAGTGGATCCCTCAAAATTCTAAGGACAAAAAGTTTGGCTCAAGCTTCAAGATCAAGACTCTACATTTTATATTTTAATGATCCAAGATCACATTGAGTCTATAGGAAAAGCCAATACTAACAAGGAGGGATGAGGTGTTGCTTAATGGCTTGCTTGCTCAAAGTGCTTAGTGATATGCTCCAAAACCATCAACTACCTTCCCACATCTACATATGACCTAAACCAAAAGTCAAACTCGGCCCCACCGGTTCTATCTATCCGGCGCCACCGAGTTTCAAATGTCATAGCCACTGCCATAAACCCTAGCAATTCGGTTTCACCGATAGGGATCTCGGTCTCACCGAGATGGGATTGTAATCTCTCTATTTCCCTTCGTAATATTTCGGTCTTACCGAGATGAGCGATCGGTCCCATCGAGATTGCAATGTAAACTCTCTGTTTCCCTTTTGTAACATTTTGGTCTCACCGAGATGAGCGAATCGGTCCCACCGAGTTTACCTGACCAACTCTCTGGTTAGCTTATTACCAAAATCGGTCCCACCGAGTTTGTGTAATCGGTCACACCGAGATTACGTTATGCCCTAACCCTAACCATATCGGTCCTACCGAGTTGCATCTCAGTCCCACCGAAAATCCTAACAGTCACTAGGTTTGCTGAATCGGTCCGACCGAGTTTAACCATTCGGTCCCACCGAGTTTGGCAAATTGTGTGTAACGGTTAGATTCTGTGTGGAGGCTATATATACCCCTCCACCCACTCTTCATTCGTGGAGAGAGCCATCAGAACATACCTACACTTCCAATACACATTTTCTGAGAGAGAGAACCACCTACACTTGTGTTGAGGTCAAGATATTCCATTCCAACCATATGAATCTTGATCTCTAGCCTTCCCCAAGTTGCTTTCCACTCAAATCTTCTTTCCACCAAATCCAAATCCTGTGAGAGAGAGTTGAGTGTTGGGGAGACTATCATTTGAAGCACAAGAGCAAGGAGTTCATCATCAACACACCATTTGTTACTTCTTGGAGAGTGGTGTCTCCTAGATTGGCTAGGTGTCACTTGGGAGCTTCCGACAAGATTGTGGAGTTGAACCAAGGAGTTTGTAAGGGCAAGGAGATCGCCTACTTCGTGAAGATCTACCGCTAGTGAGGCAAATCCTTCATGGGCGACGGCCATGATGGAATAGATAAGGTTGCTTCTTCGTGGACCCTTCGTGGGTGGAGCCCTCCGTGGACTCGCGCAACTGTTACCCTCCGTGGGTTGAAGTCTCCATCAACGTGGATGTACGATAGCACCACCTATCGGAACCACGACAAAAACATCCGTGTCTCCAATTGCGTTTGAATCCTCCAAACCCTTCCCTTTACATTCTTGCAAGTTGCATGCTTTACTTTCCGCTGCTCATATACTCTTTTGCATGCTTGCTTGAATTGTGTGGAGATTGCTTGACTTGTGCTAAGATAGCTAAAATCTGCCAAGAACTAAAATTGGGAAAAGGCTAGATTTTTATTTGATCAAGTAGTCTAATCACCCCCCTCTAGACATACTTTTGATCCTACAAGTGGTATCAGAGCTTTGGTCTCCATTTACTTTGATTTCCAAGCTTTTGGTGGTCATAGCCTTGGTTTCACAACCTAGGAGAGTATGGCGTCTAGCGAGGGAAATTATCATCGTAGAGGTCCTTACTTTGATGGTACTAATTTTGCTAGTTGGAAGCATAAGATGAAAATGCATATTCTTGGACATAACCCCGCCATTTGGGCTATTGTGTGTGTTGGCTTGCAAGGTGAATTCTTTGATGGGAAAGAACCGAATCGTGAAGCTACCGCGGATGAGTTGAAGATGCTACAATA